ATGTGGGAACGGCGAGTAACAGTCTGTCTTTTCAGTGGCAATAAATGTCTCCTGATTGATTGACCCTACTTTATCTCAAATTTCTACTAATACATTATATTGTAAAACTAAAGTGAACAAGATACCGTACAAAATTTAATATTTTTAGAGCATTTGCTGTTTCATAAGTAATTTGAAAACATGGTATTTAAAGACAGCAGAGGACTCCATCAGATAATTGCACCCTAATTTTTTAGCCGTTCCCTTGTTAAAGCTGTTAGATTTGTTTTCAGGTTTATGCTGCTGAAGTATTTTTATTAATGTCTTTGTACAAAAGTCTTTATGTATGTCTTTAGTAATTTTAGGATAAGTTCAAAGAAATCGAATTGCTAAATCGAAGAACAGCATGTGTTTGTGCCCCTTGATGTAATTTTTCAAATTGCCTTCTGGAAACATTATATACGATGAGCATCCCTAATCTGAAAATCCAAAATCTGAAGTGCCAGAAAATCCTCAACTTTTTGAGTACTGGCATGACACCACAAGTGGAAAATTCCACACCTGACCTCATGTGACAGGTTGTGGTTAAAATGAAGTCAACGTCAATAAACTAGGCGTCGAAGGAACATACCTCAAAATAATAAGAGCCATCTATGACAGACCCGCAGCCAACATCATACTGAATAGGCAAAACCTGGAAGCATTCACCCTGAGAACTGGAACAAGGCAAGGATGCCCACTCTCACCACTCCTGTTCAACATAGTCCTGGGAGTTCTAGCCAGAGCAGTCAGGCAAGAGAAAGAAATAAAAGGCATCCAAATAGGAAATAGGAAAATAAGTCAAATTATCTCTCTCGCTGACAATATGATTATCTATATGGAAAACCCTGAAGATTCTGCTAAAAGGCTCCTAAGCTGATAAATAACTTCAGTAAAGTTTCAGGATACAAAATAATTGTAAAAAAGTCCGTAGCATTTTCATACTGCTAAGCTGAGCACCAAATCAAGAGTGCAGTCTCATTCACAATAGCTATTAATACCTAGGAATACAACTAACCAGGCAGGTGAAACATCTATACAAAGAGAATTACAAAACACGTTCAAAGAAGTCAGAGATGACACAAACAAATGGAAAAACATTCCATGCTCATGGATAGGAAGAATCGATATTGTTAAAATGGCCATACTGCCCAAGGTGGTTTACAGATTCAGTGCTATTTCTATCAAGCTACCAATGTTATTTTTCACATAATTAGAAAAAAACTATCCCAAAATTAATACGGAACCAAAAAACCCGAACAGTCAGAGCAATCCTAAGCAAAAAGAACAAAGCCAGAAACATCACACTACCCGACTTCAAACTATACAAGGCAACAGTAACCAAAACAGCATGAGACTGGTACAAAAGCAGACATAGACCAATGGAACAGGTTAGAGAACCCAGAAGTAAAGCTGTACACCTATAACCATCTGATCTTCGACAAAGCTGACAATTACAAACAGTGGGGAAAGGAGTCCATATTCAATAAACTGTGCTAGGGTAACTGGCTGGCTATATGCAGAACATTGAAAGTGGACCACTTCCTTTCACCAGATACAAAAATCAACTCACGGTGCATTAAAGACTTAAATGTAAAACCTAAAACTATAAAAAAAAAGCCTAGAAGAAAACCTAGAAAATACCATTCTGGGTGTAGGCCTTGGCAAAGATTTCATAATGTAGTTTCCAAACGCAATTGCAACAAAAACAAAAATAGATAAGTGGGACCTAATTAAACTAAAGAGTTTCTACACAGCAAAAGGAAGTATTAAAAGAATAAACAGCCTACAGAATGGGAGAAAATATTTGAAAATGTTGCATCCAAAGAAGGTCAAATATCCAGAATCTATAAAGAACTTAACCAGCATAAAACAACCATATTTTAAAAATAGGCAAAGGACATAAACAGACACTTCTCAAAAGAAGACATACATGCAGCCAACAAACATGAAAAAATGCTCACCATCATGAATCATTACAGAAATGCAAATCAAAACCACAATGAGATACCATCTTATGAAAGTCAGAATGGCTATTATTAAGAAGTCAGAAAGTAACAGATGTTGGCAAGGTTGTGGAGAAAAGCGAACACTTACACACTGCCTATGGGAATGTAAATTAGTTCAGCCACTGTGGAAAGCGGTTTGGAGGTTTCTCAAAGAACTTAAAACAGAACTACCATCTGACCCAGCAATCCCAATTCTAGGTATAAACCCAAAGGAATATAAATTGTTCTACCAAAAAGACACATGCATTCAAATGTTCATTGTAATACTGTTCACAATAGCAAATACAGGGAATCAACCTAGATGCTCATCAGTGGTGGACTGGACAAAGAAAATGTGGTACATACACACCAGGGAATGCTACACAGCCGTAAAAAGAATGCAGTCATGCCCTTTGCAGCAACATGGATGGAGCTGGAGGTTATTATCCTAGGCAAATTAACAGAGGAACAGAAAACCAAAAACTGTATGTTCTCACTTGTTAGTGGGAGCTAAACACTGAGTACACACAGACACAACAAGGGGAACAATAGACGTCGGGGCCTACTTTCTGAAGGTAGAAGGTGGGAGGAAGGGTGAGGTTTAAAAAATTGCCTATTGGGCACTGTGCTCCCTACCTGGGTAATGAAATAATTTGTATACCAAACCCCAGCAACATGCAGTTTACACATATAACAAACCTGCACATATATCCCTTAAACTTAAATGAGATTTAAAAAAAAAAAAAAAAAGTCGAAACCTTGTTTTGTGCAAAAATTACTTAAAATATTGTATGAAATTACCTTCATGTTTTGTGTATAAAGTGTATATGAAACATAAGTGACTTCCGTATTTACACTTTGTATCTTACTGGGTATCTGCAGATATTCCAAAATCCAAACAAAATCCAAATTCTGACACACTTCTAAACATTTCAGTTAAGGGATTTTCAACCTGTACCAGTTTTCCTTCCTACTAGAAATGTATGAAATTATAAGGATGTCTTCTCACCCCTTCCCCTTCTGTAAGGCACCTTTGCCAGCTCAACAAATGATCGGTTTTACAATTCAGTAATTACTAGATTAGTAGTAATATGGTCAGCCCAAATTTTAAGGAATTAACTAGAGACATTGTGGAAACAAATCACTGTCTTGTGTATTTCAGCAGTAGGAAGTGAGGTTGACCTCTTTTATTTGAGCCTCATTGCCATTTCCAGACGTTATTCCTCACTGTCATTTATTGTCTTCATTTTGGTTTTCTATTTATTGCACTCTCCTCTTACACCTGCTTCTGCTTAGTCTTCTGCTGACCTTCAGGGTGCTGCTGCATCATATTCTTAGAGACAGTTCCTCTCCTCCCCATCCCCTCATGTTACACTAGGCAACATGGATCTTCTCTTTTTTAACATACTCTGTCCTCACTTCACCACAAACAGTGCTCCATAGACCTTTAATCAGCTGGAAATTCTTCACCTCTGAATCCCCAAGTCTGAATTTCTCACTGCAAACCACAGTTTCATATTTTTATGGCTCTCCCACTGACACCAAATTTCTTTGTCATCCTAATGTTATTTCCAAGCACTCCATCCACTTCCCATTTCCTTTTTTGGCTCCTTCTGTGTGTCTCTTGCTTTCCTGCCCAGCCTGTGATCTGTGATGCACCATTTGACTGTGATGTGATAGACACCACTTACCTGTTTATCTTTTTGAACTTCTACATACTTCCCTGGGAAGTTGCTGGCCTTGGGCAACCCAAAACATTTATTTTCTCTGCTTCAGTTCTCCAGCTGTTATGTGATCATGGACAAAATCACATGCCAGCCGAGCTGTGTGTCCTTGGAATCTGGGATTGTGTGGTTTCCCCTTTATTATTTGGAATTCACAGAAACTAACAGTCTTAAAATAAAAATTCACAGAAAATGAGCCTAAATACATTTTAGTTTTTGGAGTCTGAGACAGTTATGCTGTGTCCCAGGGACTTCCACCTGGGTTCCTTTCTCACCATATGTGAGTCTTCGCTCCCCTAAGATGATTTAATCTTAAGAACCATCCTCAGTACTTCCCTTTTAGACATCTTGCTACTTCTGAGGCCGAGGCCAGAAGAATCAAATCCTTCTGTGATGTTTTAATATCCTATCTGAGATGTGATATTTTGGGCTCCTGACCCCTGCCTGAAATGATTTTTGGCCTTCTCTGTCCAGGCTTAGCAGCAGAGCCATATTTCTCCAACCAAGATGGAGAGGTTTTCAGTTATACAGCTTGGAGTATAGTCTTTATTACAGAAATAAACAGATGAGAGGCCATTCTGTTTAGGCAAAGATAGAATGCATTATGATGAAAGTTGTAGCTTTTGCTAGGAAGACTAATTCCAGAACTGATTTGCTAGGAGGGAGAACATCGTAAATGTTCCCCCTGCCTTGGTGAGGATTGGCCTCAGTAATGAATAGGGCTGAGGCAGTCCTAGGTAACTACATTAGCTTCCTGCTACCTGGAGATAAAGCTCAGACCCCTCGGTGTTACATCCAAGGCCCTCCATGAACTAGTGCAATCTACCTTTCAAGCTTGATCTCACATCAGTTTCACATTGTGGCCAGCCATACTGATCTTGCTATCCCCCGATAGTCCATATGCCTTCTTTTCTCTAAGTTGCGTGTATGTCTTACAAAAGTAAGACGTGATACTTAGAAAAGTTTGGAACAATATAAGAAAGCAGAAAAGAGAAAAATCCTTTGGCTACTGAGATGAAACTCCTAGAAACATTTCATTGTGTGTGTTTTTTCTCTCCCTTGCAGATGGCATTATTTTTGTTGTTTTTCCATAGTCTTTCGTCCTCCTTTTTAAAACTAAACATTACATAAGAATTTATTTTTTATTTCCATAGGGTTTGGGGGAACAGGTGGTGTTTGGTTACACGAATAATAAGTTCTTCAGTGGTGATTTCTGAAATCTTGGTGCACCCATCACCCGAGCAGTATATACTGTATCCAATGTGAGGATGAATTGAGCCCAGGAGGCAGAGGTTGCAGTGAGCTGAGATTGTGCTGCTGCACTCCAGCCTGGGTGACAGAGTGAGACCCTATTTTAAAAAAAGTACTAGCAGCAGTAAAATGTAAAAGAGAAAGAATTTAGCACTGAGAAGGGCACAGCATCATTTTTCTGGTATTCTTGACAAATGTGCACAATCTAAATTTAGTCATGAGGGAATATCAGACAAACTTAAGCTGGAGGACATTCTAGAAAATAACTTCCCAGTACCCTTCAAAAGTCTCAAGAAAGACAAAAGAAGCCTGAGGAACCATTACAGAGGAAAGGAAACAAAGGACAGGTGGCAGGTGCTAAATGCATTGTGTGATCCTGGACCAGCAAAGGACATTAGGACAATTGACAAAATTTGTATAAGGTCTGTAAATTAGATAATAATTGTACGTCAGTGTTAATTTCCTGATCTTGATGATTATGCTGGGGTTAAGACTGACATTATCATTTGGGGAATATTATTGAAGGGTATATGGGAATTCTTTACACTACCTTTGCCAACCTGAAATTATTTCAAGATAAAAAGGTTAACAGCTTTATAATTAAAAATAAAGCAACAACGTTTACTCAATGTTGTTTACCTAACTGACACCTTAGGCATCTACATTGGCTCACCAACAATGTCCACACGTTTTTGCTGGGCTGGTTACTTAATTAGCATCAGTAAGCTTCTGGTTTTCAAACAGATTTCATGTACATTGTTTTATTTGATTCTGAAACAAACAAATGTGGTTTGTGGGAAATTTCCTGCATCTTAAAGAAACAGGGTTGGTTATGTTAAATGATTTGTCCAAAAAAAAACCAGTACTAACAAAGTAGTGGGTAGATGGGACCACAAAGATTTTCTGGGTTTGGACTCTCAGAAGTTAAAAAGGCCACTTTCATTTCTCAAGGAAGTAATTTAAACATTTACACAGAATAAATTATTTTTAACCAAAAGTTATTTACAAGATAATGAAAATGTACACAAATTTTAAGATCTAGCACACTATTGGCCATGAAAGTAGGTAATGGAACAAAAGTTTTAAAGTTTTATGAAAATTGAAAAATTTTCCCAAACTGCCATGGCTTCTGTGAATGTGTGTGTGCATAGGTGCGTATATGCAATGTGTATTCTCTTTCAACCACAATGCCAGATTCCAAATTTGAACCCCTTTGTAACTATGAGCCTAAACCAAGTGGCTACTTGGCTTCCCTCGGTTATGACTTCCAAACAGCTGCTCATTTCCCATAGTTTATTTTCCTCCTTGAGGAATTGATACTAAATAGTAGACCTTTGAAATATTGCAAGATGGATTATCATCACCAGGGAGACAGACGTAGAGCAGAGTGAGATTTAATGCTAATCTCATTTTAAGTAAAATCACAAACTTTCTTTGTAAAAAGGCAATCACAGTATCTTCACTTAACCTAAATTCTGTATTATTTTGTTGAGTGTTAAAGAACACATATTACATTAACCACTGAGAAGTCACTCAGTTTGGCGAGGAAAGACAGTATCAAAACATTAAATCATATACCTCCACAATGAGTTATATAAAATGAACTTCAATTCCTAACACATGGTCTCATCTTCTGCAGATGTATATGTGGAGGCAGAAAGTCAAGCAAACTGGAAAGTTAAAAATGAATTTTTTACTCCTTAAATTATGAGTCACCTACTAACAAAAATAAGAATCTGCATCATGGAGATTATTTCCAAAGAACAGATCCTTTCAGCTAAAACTAACTAGTCTCACTAACCCATATTTTCCTTTTGCTTACAGAAAACCCTCTGTTTTTAATATACTTCTACTGACATAGAGTCAATGGAACATAGCTAATTATAAGGCAGTACGCCCCACCCATTAAAGAACGTAAAGACCTTTAAAGCTTCAGATTTTTATTTTGTCGAGAGAAGACTATTCAGCCTGCCTGGAGATAATTCACATTTTTTGTTTAAAGGTTAATAAGGAAGTAGGATAGAAACATGTGAAGATCATGCTTCCCAGAATGGGAGGCAAAAAAAAAAAAATTTCATTTTATTTCTGTCTCTGAACTTATGTGAGGGAAAGAATGTGCTTGCAGAGTGTGTGTTAGAAGTAGGGGGAGTGGTTGGGGGTCTGGTATTATATATTCCAGGGTATGCTGTGGTTTAACGGGAGTGAATTTTTCCTTTTGATTTGTCATTTGATGAAATAAATTCCCTGCACTTTTCTCTAGAGACAGATGGTAATCTGTCATTCAAAATCCAGTAGAATGAAGTCTAGAAGCTGAAGCCGTATTTGATCTCATGTGGTATGTGGTGATCCTGAACTGGTCCCATTTAGAGAATCCAGGCCTAGAAGTAAGTCTTGGGATGTTGCAGACTGGAAACTTAATTCCCAAGTGCGCCATGGTCACTGGTAAAATTATTCTCCCCACTTCTTTATCATGAGATCTATTATTCCTGTGAAGGTGGTAAAAATAATGTGTGTTGTTTAAAGAAGAAAGATAAGACATTGATCTGTGAAAGAGGTAGAACATGAATTCCTTAGAAGTCCCTGTGTGTCCTTCATGGTCACACCCCCCTTTCTTTTCCCGAAGAGAACCACTGTTCTGACTTTTGTCTTAACTAGCCCCTTGCTTTCTGTATAGGGAGATATCTGTATACACAAACGAACAAACAAACAAACAAAAAGCTCTGAAAAAACCCAGGTATTCCTAAAATTGATTAGTTTTACTTTTTTGTTTTTTTAGTTTACTTGTTTTTGAACTTTATATAAATTTTTAAAAACATGCAATGTGTTTTTGACAGTGACTTTTTTGCCCTCAGCATTATGGTTTTTCATTGTTGTTGTTGTCGTTGTTGTTTGTTTTAGAAGACAGGGTCTCACTCTGTCACCCAGGCTGGAGTGCAGCACGCTCACTGTAACCCTCAACTCCTGGACTCAGGCAATCCTCCCACCTCAGCCTCCTGAGTAGCTAGGACTATATGTACGCACCACTGTGCTTGGCTAGTTTTAAAATTTTTTTGTAGAGACAGCATCTCGCTGTGTTGTCCAGACTGGTCTCAAACTTCTGGCCTTACGTGGTCCTCTTACCTTGGCCTTCCAAGTCTTCATACTGGAATTACAGGCATGAGCCACTGCACCTGGCCAGCATTATGTTATTTAATTCATTCATGTTGAGTATAGCTGGGCTTCATTCATTTTTGCTGCTGTTAGTATTCCATTCAGTAACTAAGCAATGTACCCATTTTGCTGATGAAAATTTAAAGTTTCCAGTTTTCTCAGGTTTTTGTGGTTGTTGTTCAATTACAAGCAATGTTGCTAATGCATTTCTTACACCTGTCAGCTAATACACAGTAAGAGTTTTTCCATATGCCTAGGAGGGCAATGCCAAGTCATATATTATATATGTGTTCACCTTTATTAGGTAATGTAAAACTGGTTTCCAAAGTGGCTGTAGCAACTTACATTCCTGCCAGCAGAGCATGAGCCTTTCCATTGCTCCACGTCCTCACCAACACTTGATATCATCAAATTTTTCAATTGTAGCCATCACATATTAGTATATCACTACAGTTTCCTTAGGATTTTCCTGGTTACCAGTAAGATTGAGTATCTTTTCATCCATGTGTTGACAACCGGAATTTCTTTTATGAATGCCTATTCAAGTATTTTATCCAGTTTTCTATTGAGTCATTGGTCTTTTTCTTATTGATTCAAAGCCATTCTTTATATAATCTGAATACTAACCCTTTGTTGTTTATATGTCTAACAAATATCTTTTCCTAGTTTGTAGCTTGTGGTTTCATTCTCTTTGTAGTGTCTTTTGATCAACATTAACTTAAAGATTGTCACATTTAACAATCTTTTCCTTTATTGTTTTTACATTTTATGTCTTGGGAAATTCTTTCTATGAAATAAAAATACTCTCCCTCCTTTAGAGTTGTCTTAGTCTATTGCTGTTGTTATAACAAAACACATTAGGCTGGGTAATTTATAAACAACCAGTTGTTATTTCTGACAATTCTAGAGGCTGGGAAGTCCAAGATCAAGGCACGGTCAAGTTCACTGTCTGGTGAGGGCTGCTCCTTCTGCTTCTACGATGGTATCTTCTTGCTGCATCCTCACTTGGCAGAAGAGGCAAAGGAATGGAAGGGACAAACTTGTCCTCTCAGCCCTTTTACGGTGGCACTAATCCCATCTATGAGGGTGGAGTGTGCATGACCTAATCACCTCCTAGTGGCCCCACCTTTTAATATTGTTGAACTGGGAATTAAGTTTCCACATGAATTTTGGAGGAACACAAACACTCAAACCATAGCAAAAGTTTCTCTGTTCTATTTTTGTTTTTTACATTTAGGTTCAAATTCAACTGAATTTGTTTTTGTATTTGGTGTAACACAGGGAGTCCGGTTTCATCTTTTCCATAGAGAAAACCAATTGATCCCAGACCATTTACTAAAAAGTGATTTTTTTCTCCCACATTGATCTGAAATACCACCTTTGATATTTAGCAGATATCCGTATTACATGTCTGGGCTTTTTGTTCTCTTCCATTCATCTATCTATCCTCATGCCAGTACTACACTGTCTTAATTACTGTGTCTTTACCAGTCTTGATATCTGATAGGGCCAGTGTTCCCACCTTTTCCTTGGTTATTCAGGACCCATTGTTCTTCTGTATATAGTTTGCATAGTTGTATATTCCACTTGAGAGGTTCCACCAAAAAATTAAGTATTTTGAGAGGAATTGCACATCTATTTTAGGATAATTTACATCTTTAGTATATTGAAGCCTCCAATTCAAAAGCCTGGCATATCTTTCCATTTATTTGGATCTTTCAAAATATTTTAAATAAAGTTTTAGTTTTTTCCATAAAGACCTTATACATTTATTAGATTTATTCTTTAGATACTCTGTATTTTTGAGATTATTATAAATTCTATCTTTTAAATATCATTTTCTTACCATTTGTTACTTTGGATAGAAAGGCAATTGATTTTTACATATTGCTTTATATACAGCCAACTTGCTATATCCTCTAACTTTAATGATTTATATATTGATTATTTTGGATTTTCTATGTAGTCAATCATATCATTTCTCAATAAGAGCAAAACAATTTTATTTCTTAATTTTATATTTCATTTTTCTTTTTCTTGCCTTACCCTACTGTGAGCTCTTCTAATATAGAATTAAATAAGGGTGTTCTTGTTTCTGATCTTAAAAAGAATACTTTCAGTATTTCTTCATTAGTATTTCTACATTTACTGAGATGATTGTATAGTTTTTCATTTATTTGTTATTGTAGTAAATTATATTCGTTAGTTACTAATATGAAGGTACTCCTGCATCCCTAGGATGAAACTATCTTAGTCATGATGGATGGTTATTTTTACACATTTATGATTTTTGTTTGATAATGTTTTATTAAGATTTTTGGATTTTTGTTTGTGAATGAGATTGGCCTGTAATTTTCCTTTTGTACTGTCATTGTCAGGTTTTCATATCAAAATTATGTAAGCCTCCTTGACAAAGTTGAGGATCAAGGTAGTCCCTCTTTTTTCATATAGTGGAATAGTTTGTGTAAGGAAGGATATAGGAATATTCAGGTTTTTATTTCTCTTTGTTTCAATTTAGGTAAGTTAAAATTCTATAGAAAATGCTCCATCTAAATTTTTTAATATTTAGCATGATTTTTAATGATATTTTATTATCTTTTAAATTTCTTGTGCATGTAAATTATGACCCCAAATTTTTTATTTTTTTGTACATTTTTTTCTTTGAAAAATCTTGCCATAAAGTTGTTAGAGTTTCCAATCATTTGGAAGAAACTTTGTTTAGCTTTTTTGATCTACACTCTTATATGTTTATATTCTATTTCATTATTTCTGGTCTTATTTTTATGATTTTCTTTCTTCTAGTTCTTTGGATTTATTTTACTGATCTTTTTCTGATTTCTTAAATTATTTACTTATTAAATTTCAATTTTTCTTTTTTTAAACACTGTTAAAATTTCACTCTAATGCTTATGCATCGCTACACATTTTTGTGTATGACATTTTATTAATATTTAATTGCAAATATTTTGCCATTTTACATTTGAATTTCCTCTTATCCCATAAATTATTTGTGGGATTCTTGATTTACAAAGATATAGGGATTTTCTGGTTATCTTTTTGTTACTGACTTCCAACACAATTACACTGAAGTCAGAAAATATTTTATGTATGATATCAATTTGTCAAAATCTTTGAGTTTTGGTCCAGTATATTGTCAGTCTTTGTAAATGCTCCATAGTTGGCCAAAAACAATGAACACTGGTGTTTCAAGCTGCTAGGCATAGTGCTCCATATATGTGTGTTATATGAAGCTTGCCGATCGTGCTAGATAAATCTTCTATATCATTATTTTTACTACTTGATCTATCAGTTACTGTCAAAGATGTGTTAAAAATCTTCCACTATATTGTAGACTTATTACATTCTCCTTGTAAATATTGTTACATATTTTCAATCTGTGTTATTGGGTACAAATTACCTTAAACTTTTTATATGCATATTAATGTGAGAAATATAGTTAATTACAGAGGCTTAAATTTAGACTATAGGTTATTTTGGTTCAGTGATTCTGATTTTTATGTTTTGTAAAACAATTTAATAAACCTCACTTGAGACAAAAAGGATTTTTTAAAATCACACTTAGCAATTCAGAGTTACAAATATTGGTGTCTCTTGACCTTGTTAACCCATTTCTGGGATACTGTCCAAAATAACCAGAAGTAGATAAAAAGCTGTATGTACCAAAATACATATTTGTACTGGCAAATAAAATAAAATTAAATGTCGGTTCTAACAATAGGAGAGTGGTTAAATAACTGGACATAGCTACGTGATAATGTATTATACATCCATTAGAGTCATTTATAAAGAATTTGTAATAAAACTGGAAAGTTATTATGTCACAATGATGCATAAATCTGACTACAGTCGGTCCCTTTTTCCCATGGGGGATATGTTCTGAGACTCCCCAGTGGATGCCTGAAACTGCAGATAATACCAACCTCTACATATATGAATTTTTCCTACACATACATACCTATGATAAAAGTTTAATTTATAAATTTAGCATAGTAGGAGATTAACTACAATAATTAATAATAAAATAGAACAATTATAACAATGTGCCAGAATCATTACTCTTGTGCTTTGGGGCCACTATTAAGCAAAATAAGGGTTCTTTGAACACCAGCATTGTGGTACTGCAACAGTGGCTCTAATAACCTAGCCAGCCACTAAGCAACTCGCGGGCAGGTGACATATACAGCGTGGATATGCTAGATAGAGGGATGACTGTGGTGTGAGATTTCATCATGCTACTCAGAACCATGTGCAATTGATACCTTATGAATGATTTATTTCTGAAATTTTCCACTTAATATTTTCAGACCAAAGTTGTGCATAACTGAAACCACAGAAAGCAAACTGCAGATAAGAGGGGACTACTGTATACTGTATGATTTCAATTACCTTAATGATAACTATAGAAAAAAATTCTAGGAAGAAGTATCTCAAAAGCATTGTAACATTAATTGATGTAACATTGGGGGAAAAATGGTTTTTCCCGCTTCCTTTCTATTTTTCTGTGTTTTCTGCATTTTCTACCATTTTCAAATTTCTTTTACAATATAGGAGGAAAGCCTTAAAAGCATGAACTAAGAAATGCTTATTTAATTAATACTTGAGTGTACACAATTAGTCTTTCATTCTGTATTATGTTGGTTTTGGCTGATATATATATATATATAATATGTGTGTGTATATATAGATATAATGTGTGTGTATATATTTTATATATATATATACATTTTTTTTGAGACAGAGTCTTGCTCTGTTGCCCAGGCTGGAGTACAGTAGCATGATCTCAGCTCACTGCAACCTCTACCTCCCAGGTTCAAGGGATTCTCCTGCCGCAGCCACCCGAGTAGCTGGGATTACAGATGCCCACATTGCGCCTGGCTCATTTTTGTACGTTAATAGAGATGGAGTTTCGCTGTGTTGGGCAGACTGGTCTTTATCTCCTGACCTCAGGTGATCCACCCGCCTCAGCCTCACAAAGTGCTGGGATTACAGGCATGAGCCACCGCGCCTGGCCTTAGCTGGTATTTTTTAAATATCAAGATAGAAAAGTCATTTAAAATGTGTGATATGGATATGTACAAAATAAAAGTTAATGTTTAAAATAAATGTCTTGTACTCTGCTGCCCGTAGGTAAAGTGTTGAGAGAGGAGAGCCAGCGCACTGCTCCTGTGGTTTCCAGCCGCATGAGTCCAAGGACAGGACCAACAGCTATGGGGTCCTTCAGCTCACACATGACAGAGTTTCCACGAAAACGCAAAGCAAGTGATTCAGACCCATCCCAGTAAGTGACTTTGTTCCTCTAACCCAGTGAGAGCTTTGACTCTAGGGAGAAGAGGAAAATGTTCCTTTTAAAATCTTTAATTATTTCCAAGTTCATGGTAACATTTGGAGACAGGAGAGTACTTATCTACCCAACTGCTACCTTTGTCAGTGACTGACTTGGAACTTTTCCATCCAGCTCTGAAGAAAGGTATCTAGGAGGGTCAGCTGGAGTCTGAAAGAGACATAGGAACATGAGTTTTATTTGGTTAATGTTTATGGTCATGGCAAGATGCTTGCCTTCCTTACTGAAATCCTTATAAACATGAGGAGAACACCTTGGATGTTTGACTTAAAATAATAATGACTACTTCTCACCTTACTCATCATGTATAGAATAACCAACCCTTGGTTATCTGTGGTCAGTTTAATCATATAAAACTCGTGCTTTCCATATTTATTAAGTCAAATTGATAATAAAGTCAATGTTAAGAATACCCACTGTCTCCTTATTTATTTTTGTTACCCCTGCAGCTTCAGTCCTAAATATTCTTTAATGACTTCCCCAAAGCTGGAGTTTATATGGTGAAAACATCAGGGCAAGCCAGGTACAGTGGCACACGCCTGCAGTACTAGCTACGCGGGAGGCTGAGGTAGGTTCTTGAGCCCAGATGTTTGAGACCAGCAAGACCCCATCTCTAAATAAATAGGTATAAAATTTAGAAAACATTAAGAAAAAATAAAGATAGCCATCTAGAGCAACTCATCATAGGCTGGTACTTTACATAAATATGAGAGTTGATGACAGTTCTCCATCATGAATGAAGGGAAAAATCCTGCGTTGGGAGTTGGAGGTCAAGATAAGGACATAATAAAACATCCTGGCTCTTTTTTGTTGTTGTTGTTGGGGGATGATATTCAGCTCTTATTTACAAAGTGGGCACATGCTAGCTCTTTTTAACTCAGTCCTTCCCAATACACTTTATAATTTAGCTTCAGTTCCCAAGACAGTAGAGTAAATACTAAAACACTTCCTACGCCACATATAAAGGATTGGAAGGTTTTCTACTGTTTTTGGTTGTCTCTATTCCCTTAGTCTCTTCCATTAACATGGATGCTTCTGAAAACTATAGTTGATGAAGTGACAGTCTTTTTAGACTCTCTAGCTGTTTTCCATCCTAAATTATCAGTCAATAGCCCCCACTTAACTTGAGCTAAAAGTGACTGTTAGTTCTTTTTATTTGCTTCCTTATTCTTCAGAATCATAAGCACCACTGTTCTTTCTCGGTGTCTAAATATGATTTCAGCAATTGAAGTGGGAACAGTGAATATAGAGGTAGCCCAGCTTCGTGCCACATGGCGGGGCACAGATGAGACCTTGCAGTGGTTTGGGGGTGAAATGGAAAGTGGGGTCAGTGCTAGCAAAAATATAAGAAACATGCAAAGTACTGACAGTACCGACATTTTTTTTGTCAGCAAGCAACACTGAAGATTATTTAGGTAACTACTCACATTTTAGAAGAGGAAGAAGCTAGAACTCAGAAATGTCAAGCAGTTTGCCCAGCATCACACAGCTTGTTAGAATGCCTGATTCCAGATGTGGTATTTTCTCCACTTCACCCAGCTTCCTGTCGCTGGGTAGCTGGACAGAGTGGGCTGCTTTCTCCACTTGAGGACAGGCTTGCTGTCCATTCCCAGAACATCTGGGTAGGGGGTGACCCAAGGCCTCCTTCCTTCCAGGTCAGGAATCATGACAGAAAAAGTGGTGGAAAAGATTTCTGAGAATCCCCTTACCTATCTTCTTTCAACAAGGATAGAAATATCAGCCTCCAGTGGCAGCAGGTAAGTCCTGGACCGTTTTTGACATACTCCCTCCCCTACTTGAAGAGGGCATAGAGTGGCAGTGAAAACGTAATACATGTCCCGCTGATTTGCTCATCATCTATCCCAGAGCTTCTCCTTTCTGCCCCAATCCTTCCTTTATCCTAACAGTTTCTGTTCCCTTTAATGAAATTATGGATGTCAAAGTACGTGGTGCTGACTATATAGTGTCCTTCCCCAGGACTCAGTGCAGGAAAGCCAGTCAATAGGTGAGGCTGATTTCACTCACGTAGCCTCAGAGTGCTGGATATTTTTAAAAACGAAGAATATGTGAGAATGTCCACCCTTTCTGTGGCACTGTTAGTTTTGAATGGAGAGCTGGGTTTTTTTTTTTTTTTTTTTTTTTTTTTTTTTTTTGAGACAGAGTCTCACTCTGTCGCCAGGCTGGAGTGCAGTGGCGCAATCTCGGCTCACTGCAACGTCTGCCTCCTGGGTTGAAGTGATTCTCCTGCCTCAGCCTCCCGAGTAACTGGGACTACATGTGCCCGCCACCACGCCCGGCTAATTTTTGTATTTTTAGTAGAGATGGGGTTTCACCATGTTGGCCAGGATGGTCTCAATCTCAACTTCATGATCCACCCGCCTCGGCCTCCCAAAGTGCTGGGATTATAGGCATGAGCCACCGCACCTGGCTGGAGAGCTGGTTCTTTAAAAGGGTCTTTGATGAATCTGTGGAATGTAGTCATTAAACATTTATTGGGTTGCTACTATGTGACAGTCAGTAGACTAGGAGAGATAGAGACACAAAGGTACAGGAAACTTGTGCAAATGGAAAAGATACAAACAATTATTTTACATCATCATAACTGCTATAATAGAGACCCTGGGTACTATGTCAGCAAATAAAGTTAGGCATTTAAGTAAGATTTAAATGCTTCCTGGAAAAGTTGACTTAAGCTAAGTTTTAAATGAAAAATAGAAATAAGTCTACAGCCAGGTATGATAGCTCATGCCTGTAATCCTAGCACTTTGGGAGGCAGAGGTGGGAAGATCGCTTGAGCCCAGAAGTTCAAGGCTGCAGTGAGCTATGGTCACGCCACTGCATTCCAGCCTAGGTGACAGAGTGAGACCCTATCTCTATAAAAATACATTTAAAAACAGAAGAGAAGAAGTGAGTCTACAGAACAGGAGTGGAAAAGATATTTTAGGTGGAAAGAACAACCGTGCAGGCATACAGGTATGTAGTTGCATACTCCTGATCAGGAAATGAGTGGTTGTCACCATAGAGCAGAGGGTGCACTTAGAGGGAGGTGAGCTATGAGATTTGAGAGATAAACACAAACTGAGTCATGGAAGATCTGCTGAACTGAAGAATCTGAAAACTGTCTTGAATGCAGTAGGAAAACTGAAGAATTCTAAGCATGAGAAGAACTTGATCAGATTTATATTTTTTAAAGAATTGATTGCCTCTGCACTTTTTCACTTTTTTATTATGGTAAATACACACACACACATATATACGCAAACACATATATATAAATAACATTAAATTTGCCATTTGAACCACTATTAAGTGTACAATTAATTGGCATCAATTATAGTCAGTATTATAGACCATCACCTCTATTTCTAAAACTTTTGAATCACCCCAAAGAAAAACTCTGTGCCCATAAACAACAGCGTTCCCATTCTCCTCTCTCCCGATCCCTTGCTAACCTCTAGTGCATTTTCTGGCTCTGTGAATTTGCTTATTCTAGATATTTCACATAAGTGGGAGTCCGAGGCAGGTGGATTGCCTCAGCTTAGGAGTTTGCAACCAGCCTGTGCAACATGGTGAAACCCTGTCTCTACTAAAATACAAAAAATTAGCCAGGCGTGGTGGCAGGTGCCTGTAGTCCCAGCTACTTGGGAAGCTGCAGCAGGAGAATTGCTTAAATCCAGGAGGCAGAGGTTGCAGTGAGCCAAGATCGTGCCACTGCGCTCCAGCCTGGGCGGCAGAGCGAGACTCCATCTCAAAAAAAAAACAAAGTGGAATTATATGATGTTTGTTCTTTTGTCTGACTTATTTCACTTAGCATAATGTCTTCAAGTTTCATCCATATTATAGCATGTGTCAGAATTTCATTGCTGTTTATGGCTGAATAATATTCCACTGTGTATATATACCATATGTGATTTATCCAGTCCTCTCTTGAAGGGTTATTTCCACTTTTTGGCTATTGTGAATAATGCTGCCATGAACACTGATGTACAAATACCTGCTTTAGTCCTTGCTTTCCATTATTTTGGATATATGCCTAGGAGAGAGTTGCTGGGTTATGTGATAATTCTGTTCAGTTTTTGAGGAACTGCTATACTGTTTTCCACGGTGACTGCATCACGTTACATTCCCATGAGTAGTGTACAAGAGTTCCATTTTCTTCACATCCTCACTGACCCTTATTATTTTCAATTGCTTGATTATAGCCATCCTGGTAGGTGTGAGTGGTACAGTCTTACAGTTTTCAAAGAATCACCCTGGAAACAGCATGGAGGATGGTCTGAAGGGGGAAGATCCAGTAGGCAGAGAGAACCATGGAGAATAGCTCTTGCCAAGGATGAGGTTTTCTGAGCTTCAATCAAAGAGAGTGGCCCTGGACAGGAAGGGAAGGGAAAGGAAGGGACATATGACACACTCAGAAGATAGGATCAATAGGACTTCGTGATTGTTCATTGGGAGGAGGATATAAAGTGTGCCCACGTTTTCTGACTTGGGCTTCTAGATGGAGGGTGGTATTTTCATTCACTTATATTGAGGCAAAGATGATGAGTTGAGTTCTGGACACACTAAGAATGGGATATTTATAGAACCTTCAAGCAGGAAGATGGACATGAGGATTTGGAGCTCAGGGTGGAGGCCTGGCCTGGAGTTAGAGACTCAGACATCATTAATGCACAAAAAGTACTTGAACTGATGATGTGGGTGACGTCTCTGGGAGAAGCTTATAGAGTGGGGAGACTGGGGGCTGAGGATATATTCTGGGGGTGCTGACCTAAAGATAGTACAAGATGAGGGGAAGCCTGCCCAGACTATGTGAAGGCATGGCTCTGAAGTGGGAGCGGCACACAGAAATCAAAGGAAGCACGTTTCAAAAAGAGGAACGCCTGACAAGTGGCAAATCTGGGGAATATTTTGAGATTGCATCTGCCTCTAACTTTGTCTTTGGTTAATTTAGAAAGAATGCCTACATTTCATTCAAAATGCAGTGAAAATAGTTTTCAAGAAAACTTTGCATTGTGTCTGAAATTCTATTACTGTAATGTAAGGTGCTGCACTAAGAAAATGTATCCCAGTAATGTGAATATTATTAATATCAGGAAGCTTATTAAAACACATTTGTAAAAATTTGTAAAATGTTAGGATTATAGACCAAATTTACTAATTATCTAGATTTGTTCTACAAACAAATGAACTGTTTGACTAACAAGATCTTGCCTTTATTCTATTCTGCCAGGGGCCATTAAACAGAAGGGTATTTGTATTTAATAAGTACAGTATATTTGAATTTCACCAAGGAGGCAAATTCACTCAGTGAGTTCATTTGCTAAAATGCCAATGATCAAAGCGAAAACATGATCTTAAAAGGTCAAAGTTTACCTTTTGAAATTGAAGTAATGTACATATATGTAGTCAGTGCTTCATATCTATGGGCAACCAATCAAAAATTGAAAATATCCAGAAAAAAAAAGCAAGTCTGTACTGAACAGATCCAGACTTATTTTTCTTGTTATTATTCTTTAAACAATACTGTATAACAACAATTTACATAGCATTTATATTGATTAGGTATTGTAAGTAATCTGGAGATGATTTAAAGTATATGGGAGGATGTGCATAGGTTATATGCAAATACTGTGAAGAGACTTGAACATCCACAGGTTTTGGTATCCGCGGGAGGTTCTGGAGCCAGTCCCCCACGGATGCTGAGGGACAATTATATATAATTCCAGACTATTAGGAAGAAAATTATTGACCCGTATAATTGTTTTCTGTTCATTCCTTTAAGATGACTAAAAAGAGAAAAGAAGCTGACTTAATCTGACCCTCTCTTTTGCCTCAGAGAAACTTTAATTTTATTTGTACCAGCCACACAACAGGCTGACAGTGGTGAGAGAAATGGCCAGGTATGGTGGAAGGCACACCAGGTCAGGTATGGTGGAAGGCCAGCCTGTGTTGAATAGTCTTTGCTTGGCCTCCTACTAGTTATAGGACCTTGGACAGTCATTAACTTTACTCAACTCCTTCATCTGTAAAATGGGGATAGTAATAACTTCATCACTGTGCTGTGAGAATCAAGTGTGGAAATATTTTTGATAAAGTACCATAAATATAAAAGCTCTTCTTGATTGAAACTGTGAAAAGGAAATGCACCACTTCATTAAGCGTTAGTCTTTGTGGTCTTTTTTATTTGGAATATTTATAAGCATCTCTTTATAAATTTGATTAACTTTTCTATAAGCATTATCTTTTTTTAAGTGGAAAAATATTAAAACTTCAAAAGAGTTCAACTGAGTAAGACAGTTCTAAAGTAGGCCAAACTTTTTTCAAAGCCTGAAAAATGTTCATTGTTAAATATCTATAAAGAAGGAAATTTGTTAAGATGAATCAGAAGCCTTAAAATATTTATCCATAAATTGTACTCCTAGGAATTTATCCTAGAGTGTAATTCGAGATGCCCACACCACAATATTCTTAGCCATATTATTTATGATATTGAAAATATTAGAATGTTGAAATATCCAACAATAGCAAATGAATGAATTATGATTTAACTAATCAATGGACTACCATGTTCTCCAAGAATATTTGCAACTATGCAGAAATATTCATGTTAGAATGTTAAATGAATAAGACAAGACATGAAAATTATATACTATGATCTGAGTTTTATTTATTCTATATGTAGAACACACAGAAATATCCACATGGTACCCATGCACCATGGCTAAGTTAAATAATCATTGTATGTATCTACATGTTTAGGAAACGCTGGAAGGAGACATGTTAGAATATTAACTGTGATTACTTCCAGATGGGATTATGGGTGGTTTTCCTGGAATTTTTCAAATCTCTCACAAAATGATACATTTGGAAATATATCTTTTAAGATTACATATTTTTAAAAGCTATGCAGCCTGCATAATTTTTAAGTGCTGACAGTCTTCTATCACCACCAATGTTTTTCATTTTAGTAATGGTCTGATGAGTACATTTCTGATGCTAGGAACTATACTAATGTGAAAATTAATATTATTGGCAAGAGTTTCCAGTTTTCAATATTTGTTACCATCCAGATAGATTTTTAGGCAGAATAAATTCCTTTTGATTAAAGGTCTGGGATTCTTAATCCATTTTCAGGCTGTTGTAATATAGCTATCATAAAGTTTTTGGTTAAGCCATCAATGATCTTAATGACTTTAATGTTAATTCTATGAAAATCTTACTATTGCTCAAGTTTGTCATGAGATCATATCCAAGTCATACACTAATTATTGCTCACTGTCAGTTAACATAACTTTTGTTATCCTTATGGGAATGGTGTTGCCTGTCAGCGTTAGGAAGAGAATGGTTCCTGTAGACAGTAGTAATCGTTTCAGGTCATTAGGTGCTCAAGGGAGCATTTACAGCTAAGGATTTTATAGGAATTAGGATGATTGGACTTAATCTCACATCTGTTTCTCTCTCAAGAACTACAGAAAAGGTATTTCATGTAGTTTGATATTTTATCCTGCTTTTTTGTAGAGTGGAAGATGGTGAACACCAAGTTAAAATGAAGGCCTTCAGGTACATTGACTTGTTGAGATGGTACATGGTGAGTGGAAAGGTACACAAAGGCAAGCCTGTAGCCTAAGGCAAAGGTGACGTCAAGATAGAAGGGCTTGAAGATGAGACTTTTTTGTCTTGTTATGCTCTGAGAAGCAATGTTATCAGGCACCTTTTGTCTTGCTTTTCTGTCTACTTGGATAACATTTTGGCTTTCATGCCTTTAACTTTCTCTTAGAATAGCTTTTTTCAAAAAAAAAGAATATTATTTTCTTTAAGCACTAAAGAAAAATTGATTCATGACTTAAATCAGTTACTTATGAGGAGCATCTGACTGTTGGAAACCCATCCTCGTAAGTTCTTTGTCAATTATTTCAACATATTTTTTCAACAACAACAACAAAATATTCTTCTCCATCTGGCAACATGGCCTATCAGAGTTTTGCTTTTTCTCCATTTATTTTGTTTTCTGATAGGATTCCACAAAATACTGCTGTGGTTCAAAGTGGCAGTAACTGTACACAGAATTAGGAGCCAGAGCTCTGATGAAGTATTAAGCAGAGAGCTGGCCTCTGGAGAATTATGCCTTTCCTTAATGAAAGCCTCCAGAAACCTTTTCAGGTGCAGCTCCTTCAAGTAAAGTACCTTGTTCAGACATTGGTTCTTTCACCTTGCCCTGGGTTTCCTGGCTCCCAGCATCATCATTCACCTTCTCCACCGTGGGCTTTCTCCCACCCTGCTCTCATCTCTCTCCAGATCCTGGCTCAGAGAGAGCACCCCTTCCTCTGCTGTACATCCTGGAGTCAGGCGTCTCTATCCATCGCTGCTGTCCATGCTGATGGGGAACACTGTTAGAAAGAAGAGGTGATCCTTCTAGTGAGAGTGTAACTACAATATTCTTTTAATCATAACACTTTCATTTTAATCGAGATGCTCTGTAATCCCAGCTCCTTGGAAGGCAGAGGCAGAAGAATCCTTTGAGCCCAGGAGTTTGAGGCTGCAGTGAGCTGTGATCATACAACTGTACTGCAACCTGGGCAACAGAGTGAGACCTTGACTTTAAAAAGAAAAAGAAAAATATCTAATTGCTCACAAATAGAACAAAGTATGAGTAGATAACTGAATTTTATGTGAATACACATCTAATTGGAATCCTATCCACTTCATCCAACAGTATGTATTTTGTTCCAGGCGTGTCACTGCCAAGGGTGAATGGTTGGGGCAGGGAGTGTGTTAGCTGCCACAGCCTTCATTGATGTTCCTCCCTACCCACCTCCCTACTCTTTTATCTGGAAAAATTACATTTTCTTTTATCCAATTTAAAGTCTTTGTAAAAACAGATCAGGGAAGTCTCCCACTTACCCTCTTTCCCATCAGATTGCCCCTGAACTATTCTAATAGAGAAATTCCGGAGTTTCTGTGTGTTGTAGGAGAGGGATTTGCAGCAAAGTGTGACGAGTAAAATCATGTAATTCTTGAAATCTAAGATACACTTTTCACCTCTACGTTTTATCTTCTGTGGAAATTTCTTATCAGTGGCATCTTCCTGTCAGTTGGCAGCATTTCTTTCTCTTGTGATGCTTTAAATAATCGTGCGTCTTACAATTGGTGGCTCTTAGATTTGATGAAATAGGGGTAGTGGTATGGAAGGTACTGAGGTGGCTTAGAGAGAGCAGTGATTAATCATGTAGTAGTCAGAGAAAGCTTCCCAGAAGAATAACTGAGCTGGATTTTGAAGAAAGAATAGGATTTCTCCAACAGTGCAGTCAGAAAGGACTTTGTAAGCCAGGTAAAGAGGAAGGCATGGAGGAGGTGTGAGACAGCATGGCGTGTGTGAGGACGAGCAAGTCTTCGCACATTGCTGCTGTGGGACATGTGGAGCTGTCGGGAAAAGTCTTGAAGAGAGAAACTGGAGATGAAGACATGAGGCAGGTCAGGGAGAACCTTGGCCTATAATTAGGGAATCTGGCTAGTCCTCTTGGGCAGTGGATGTGCAGTGAACAGTTTTGTGCAATGGGATTAGGTGACTTGATTTGTTTTACTACATAATTCCGGAAGGTATAGGATAGACTGGGAGAGGAAGGAACAACAGTTTAAAAGGTTCTGGGGTAATGCAATGAGCCTAAATTAAGATGGTGACAGAGGAAATGGAGAGGAAGAGAAGACATGTTTAAGAAATATTTTAAGATCTAGAATCGAAGGAGTTTGTGATTATTTGGCTTTTTAGGGTGAAGAGGAAGGTTCTAAACCAGGGATATCCAGTCTTTTGGCTTCCCTGGGTCACGTTGGAAGAAGAAAAATTGTCTTGAGTCACACATAAAATACAGTAACACCAATGATAGCTAGTGAGCTAAAAAAAAAAAAAAAAATCTCATAATGTTTTTAGAAAGTTTACGAATTTGAGTTGGGCCACATTCAAAGCCATCCTGGAGTGCAGTTTGGACAAGCTTGGTCTAGACTGAGCAGTTGTGTTACCAACCAAGATAAACCCTATAGAAGGAATAATAAATCAGGAGTAGTACAGGAAGAATTGAAAATGGGGGTACATTGCAGAGAATGCATTCAGTTTGGGGTTTCCTGAGTTTTAGATTTCTTGAGAATTGTTTAGATTTGTAATTCTAGTTCCATAGGTCAGGAGCTGAGTGAAGTATGAATGAGATAGGGTTATAATAACAAGTAGCTTATGAGTAGCTGTAAAGCCTTGTGAGGAAATGAGATCTCAGGGTGAATAAAGAGTGAAGAGAGAGCGGTGCTGAGCAGGGAATCTTAGTACACACCAATATTTAAGGATCAAGTAAGAGCTGGGTGAGGTGACGAGGGGACTGAGCCGAGCAGGGAGAGTGGAGGAGGACGAGGAGGCAGAGAGGCTGTGGAAACCAGGGGAGAATGAGAAGTGTCAGCAGTGTCAGATTCAAGGCAGGGATCAGCAAGAGATTGCAAGAGAGAAGAACGATTTTCGCTAGGACAGTTTTAGTGGGGCAGGGGTTGTGGAAGGTTGATGTTACAGATGGACAGAATGCCTGGGAAATGAAAGACTGAGTGGAAACTGCACTCTTTCAGGGAGCTTGCTGAGGGGGCAAGACAGTAGCAAGAACAAAAAACAACTAGAATTAGGGAAAGGGTTTTTTTTCACGGGGGAAGATACTTGAGCACATTAATAGACCCATGATAAGGAGCTATAAAAATAATGAGGTTAAGATGCTGATAACTATTTATGCAAATACCAGAGAATAGTTAGCTTTGAACAAAAGGGCACCCATCTCTTCTCTAATATTGGAGACAGGTAGAAAAACCACCTAGGCTCTCAGACAGTTGCCTTCGTTCTTAAAGATTTCAGAAAATGAGGTAGGGAGGGACTGACCAAGGGCAGCGAGTTTTATGAATGCTATTCCTGGTCTCAGCAGCGCTTTCCTCTTCCCTCAATGACAACTGCAGGGACCCAAGTTAGGAGGAAGAACAGTGTGTGCCTGCCGGGCTCAGCATCTGCTCCACTGAGCGCCACGGGTGGGGGTCTGGAGGTCTGCCGAATGTTAAATATAAAGGAAGTTCCTTTTCCCTCTTAGAGAAGCTCATAGCCAAACCGAAAAGCGGAGGAGAGATAAAATGAATAACCTGATTGAAGAACTGTCTGCAATGATCCCTCAGTGCAACCCCATGGCGCGTAAACTGGACAAACTTACAGTTTTAAGAATGGCTGTTCAGCACTTGAGATCTTTAAAAGGTGAGTTTGACGACGGCTTCCACAGTTAAGTGAAATCTGCTCTGTCACTGATGTCTCTGATTGGTTCGCTTTGCTGTCAGCTGTTGAGGTTCTATCCAGATGTGTCTTTCAGCTTTACGGGTATTCACTGGCATTTGTCTATAGTCTGTGTGTGGAGAGAATACTGAATTGGATGTCAGAAAACTGGGTTCTGATAAAAGCTTTATCTGGAGCTCACTATGCAAACTTGAAAAGTATTTACATTTCTGCTTCACATATAATACGAAGAGAATATCACCTGCCTTTCATACCTCTCAGTTCTTTAGAAGTTCTGAAGTAGAACTGGGCATGGTGGTTCATGCTTGTAATCCCCGTACTTTGGGAGGCTGAGGTGGGTGGATCGCTTGAGTCCAGACTTCGAGACAAACCTGGGCAAAAAATGCAAAAATTAGCCAAGAGTGGTCATGCTCGCTTGTAATCCCAGCTATCTGGGAGGCTGAGGTGGGAGGATCGCTTGAGCCTGGGAGGTGGAGGTTGCAATGAGCAGTAATCGTGCCATTGCACTCCAACCTGGGTGACAGCCTGTCAAAAAAAAAAAAAAAAAGTTCTGAAGGATAGTATTAATTATTAAGTTATTGAGAGATTTCTATCCTTCAAAAAGAAAACTTCCTTAAACTCTGCAGTTTCTCTTAAGGCTTCATTCAGATTTATCAGTAGTACCTTACAATGCATCACACATTGCCATTCCAGGGTATCCTCAAATATGTGAGACACTGGGGGAAGGAGGTCCTTGCCAATGCCTCTTGGTGTGTGGGTCATCATTTCTGGCTTTAGCAATTCCCCAATTTGAGCTTGACTTTTAAATCAGAGTGTAATAAATGTGTATATGTACCTGTGTGTTAGTCCATTCTCGCATTGCTATGAAGGAATACCTGAGACTGGGTAATTTATAAAGAAAAGAAGTTGAATTGGATCATAGTTCCACAGGCAGTGCAGGAAGCATGGTGGCATCTGCCTCTTGGGAGGCCTCAGGGAGCTTTTACTCATGGCAGAAGGCAAAGCGGGAGCCGGCATCTTACATGGCAGGAGCAGGACCAAGAGAGGGTCGGGGAGGTGCCACACGCTTTAAACAACCAGATCTCATGAGAACTCACTATTGCGACACAGTACCAAGGGGAAAATCCACAAGCATGATCCAATCACCTCCCACCAGGCCCCACCTCCAGCACTGGGGATTAGTTTTCGACATGAGATTTGGGTGGGGACACAGAGCCAAACCTTATCAACATGTGCAGTAGAAATCACCCCTGGTTTGGGAATAACCCCAGTCCAACTTGGGGGACAGGGTGATGGAAGTGGAATAGAGTTTTCGATTTATCAATGCTGATGATGTAAATTTGCGTGGAAAAGATAAGACCTGGACGAGTAGCAAGCTGAAGACTCCAGAGGAGACTCTGCAAGTGCAGATCTGTAAAGATCTAGAAGATTATAGTAAAATTTGGCTCAAAAATCATAAAAAGGGAGTGAGCAAAGGATGACCAAGGGTCTTAGTTTAGATCTCAAACACTGCCAGGAAAAGGAAAATATATTTCAGGGTAATGGAAATTATCTGGGCACCATACAAGGACTTTACCAAGTCAAGTTAAGCTGGCTAAGAGGAGAGCAGCACTAACCTGGACTCCTGGTGCTTCCTGTTGGGAGCGTGATGGGAGATCACTTTCGTAACAGTCTGTTATGAAATAAGCTTCTCTTTTACCCACAGCTGAGGCTTGCAATATTTTCCTTAAATCCTTCAGCAATGAAAATTTACAGGCTCAACTGAGGTCATTTGATTGCAACCCTAAAATTAGCTGAGTATTTTCACATTTGCAGTGTCCTAAGGGAGGAGAACCTAAGGGAAAAGCCATGAATCAGTGGACTAGTTCAACAAAACATGATCTGAGCGTCAGCTGCATTCCTGTTCTGTGCTGAGAATATAAAAATTAATGAGGCAAGGTCTCTGCCCTTTAAGGGTTTGTGATCTGACTAGGAAGACTGACTTAGGAAGAGATCGTCAGAGTCTAGTGTGATGAATGTTACAGCAGTGATACGAGTGAGAGGAGAGGCTGTGGAAACTCGGCAGGGAGGAGGTGAGTCCAAAGGAGATTCCTTGGAACAGGGCGTAAATTTTGCCGTCAGCTCTGCTAAGCAGAAGTGACATGGTTGAGAACTCATCCCTGCAGTCTGACCAGATCCTTTGGTCAGTGCTGCTCACAGCAAGATGATTTAAGGCAAGTGGATCTGCATTCCAGGGTATTGTCGCAGCATCCCCACACTTGCTCGGCAAAAGCTTAGAAGCCATATCAACAGAAGGCTGCCTGTGGATCATGTTATTTTGGTCCATAGGATAATTAGGTTAAAGGCAGAAGGATGGTGATGTGATTTTTTTCACTATACCCTACAGCAGTGCTTTTTAAACTATCTGGGTGAAGAACAGGTGTTTCTCCCATCCACCACCAGTTCATTGTAAAATACAATTAATTATGGAAAAATGATCATGGATTTGGCTGTCACAGCAATGCTACATTTTTATAAAAGCCTCTAAATGCTTATTCTTAAATTCTGCATTCGATCTTACCAGTTTGCTGGTAAGAAAACCACTGGTCTGCAGACCACATTTGGAGTAGCCCTGCTCTGTAGCATGAGGTCCTGTGTCTGTGATCTGATTACCAGGCGGGGCAGTGGAGCGCGGTGGTTCACGCGTGTGCGTACTGAAGGTAGACCTTGTGGTTCAAATCCTGGCTTCCTCCCTTCATAGCTATGTGACTTACTCAAGTTATTCGACATTCTAATCCTCAGGTTTCCGCATCTGTGAAATAGGGACGATGCATTTGCCTCCTGGGACTATTGTTAAGAGTAAAGAACAGAAACCAAACACCACATGTTCTCACTCATAGGTGGGAATTGGACAATGAGATCACTTGGACATGGGAAGGGGAACATCACACACTGGGGCCTATTATGGAGGGGAAAGGGGAGGGAGGGCATTGGGAGTTATAACTGATGTAAATGACGAGTTGATGGGTGCTGACGAGTTGATGGGTGCAGCACACCAACATGGCACATGTTTACATATGTAACCTGCACGTTGTGCACATGTACCCTAGAACTTAAAGTATAATAATAATAAAAAGAGTAAAGAGTAATGCATGTAGAGTGTAGCACAGTGTTCACTAATGGTAGGGGTGGGGTAAGAAGAGGAGGAGGAACTGTTACTGTCATTTTGATCTTGTTTTTTAACCCAATGAACATTGTGAAAAAAGTAAGTGATCATGTTGCCTCGTTGGTTTTTGCCATGGGAACTCTGAGAGCCAATGTGTGGACAAGTGTGCGGAACACCACAGCGTGCATTTACGGGCCGGCCTCTACCATGCCTCAGCGCTGCTCTCACTGCCCTTGTTTTCTCTTGAGCACATCACCACTCACTCACTGAGTCAAGGCTCGCCTGTGCTGGCTGATTTACACTGACAGGGTTTCCCAGCCCACTTCTGCCTGGTGTGCTCTGCCAACCTTGCTGCAGGCCAGACCTGAAATGTCATTACCTTGCTCAGAATCAATTTATTGCTGTTCCCCGACCTAGCACTCAGAATCTGCGTCCTTCATTCCTTCCTCAGCTCCCTCCCAAGCTGCTGTGTAGTAATATTAACAAGAAGTTGTTGGGAGAATTCCCTGAGCCCTAGGGTGAAGATAGATTCCAACAGAAGAGATTTTCTTTTCCCTATGCCAGGCTCTTTAGAGTGCTATGAGTCTGAGAAAACTGTACTGAATCATAGCACGAGGCATTTTGACTTTCTGCCCCGCCTACTTACTTTGCCACCACCACCACTTAGTTCATTGGTGAGTTTGAGCCACAGATCCGTCCAAGGGCCAATGTGTGGTTAAAATGTCTAAGGACGTTACCCCACCTTTCCCCTGCAAAAGCAACTTTTCTTACAGTACCCAGGAAGAGGGGATAGGAGTCAAGAAGTTTGGGGAATATAAGGAAGGGAAAATTGACTGACTTCTGAATCATCCTTGCCCTGGTGATGGCTTGCTTGGCATTGTTGACTGTGTCATATGCCCCCTTGTGGCCTTGAGGGGCTTTGCATGTCTGGGTTGGTGGATTCCCTTACTCCTCTCAGGTCAAACATTCCCCTTGGTTTTGGCCTGATAATTCCTCATCATTTTACAAGCTCTGCAGCTGCTTTAGAGACTTTCATTTTAATATAACTCAGTGCTAAGGGCTAAAAATGAATTATTTCATTTATATTTTATACATTTTTAAAATAATCTGTGTATTATCAGAATAGAGGTCTCTATATTGCCATTAGAGAGTTTTCTTACTGGAAAATCTCATGAATCCATGACACTTGTTTAGAATTCCAGAATATCCCCTTTCAGGGTAACTCATATGATCAACTTGAATTAGCTGAGACATTATCTAAATAACTGTAGTAGTTCCCCCTTATCCATGGAGCATACGTTCCAAGAGCCTGGTAGATGCCTGAAACTGTGGGTAGTACTGAACCCTAGGCATAGCACTTTTTTCCTATGCATATATACCTATGATATAGTTTAACTTATAAATCAGGCACAGTAAGAGATTAACATTAATAATAAACTAGGACAATTTTAGCAATATGCTGTAAAAAAGTTATATGTTCTCTCTTTGGCTCGCTCAAAATATCTTATTGTATTGTGCTCACCTGTTTGCAGACCACGGTGGACCACAGGTAACTGAAACCACAGCTAAGGGGGGACTACTGCATGTCAATTCTTGAATATTATTTCATGTACAGTTTATTACAATGTTTTTATATATAGCTCTTAATGTGCATATTTGAATATAAAGGAATAAGTAGTTCCAAGAATTCACAATCTAAAAGAAAGAAATTTTAATCAAGTGATAATGAAGAAAGAAAATGCTTAGCTGAGCATAGTGGCTCACACCTGTAATCCCAGCACTTTGGGAGGCTGAGGTGAGTGGATTGCTTGAGGCCAGGAGTTCAAGACCAGCCTGGCCAACATAGTGAAAATTTGGCTCTAATAAAAATACAAAAATTAGCCGGGCGTGGTTTTGCATGCCTGTAATCCCAGCTACTCAGGAGGCTGAGGCACGAGAATCACTTGAACTCAGGAGGTGGAGGTTACAGTGAGCTGAGATGGTGCCACTGCACTTCAGCCTGGGCAACAGTGTAAGACTCTGTCTCAAAAATAAATAAATAAATTAATTAAATGAAAATGAGAAAAAAAGAAAATGATGACAGAAAATGTCTTAGAATGTGCCAAAAGAGAAAATAGCAGCAGCAGCAGCAGCGGCATTGCTAATGTTCATTGAGCGTGTTGCCCTCTCTACTGTATTTCCAATAACTCTTGACTCCTTTCTTTTTAGGCATGACAAATTCTTATGTGGGAAATAATTGTAGACCATCATTTATTCAGGATAATGAGCTCAGACATTTAATCCTTAAGGTAACTGAAGATATATTTGTCTAAGTTGTATATGTGCTTTCATTGCTGTTTGAATATGAGGCAGATTTTCTTCCATTTGCTTCCTGTTATAAACATGCAAGACTCCATGTTACACCATATTTCCTTTAATATAGAAATTTAAAATAGAGAAGTAGCCATGTGTTACTAGTTTGTGTTAATGAAAGTAGAGACAGAGGATAGGCACTTTCTACACTACAGAGCAAAGCTTGTCTTCAGGGCTAAGTATGTTATACTACCCACCTCTCACACATAGGATCTATTCGCCATGATCACCACCTCCTTCAAAGCCGTCAGCCTGACATCCTGTTCCCTCAGGATCCTGTTCTTCTCGGAGGCCAGTCATTGCTTAGAGTTGTTAGTGCTTTGACATTTCTGTCCTCATCATTTCCTGGGCATGGCTTTTCAGATTCACCGGTCTAGAGAGGAAACTGTGATCATGTGATTGGCTTCTCATGCCCTCGGAGGTGATAAATGTCTTGGTCGTGAGCTGTGTGACTACTAGGTTTTAAGCGATAGTCGAATTAAATAGAAAGATTCTTCATACACATTTTTGTCCATTTTTCCTTTAATTAAAAAAAGCCATTCTTTTATTTGAACAGCTGAATTTAAATATAGCATTCCTGGCAGGGATATAAAGGATATTGTGTGGATAAAAAAATTTTTGAAGGTGGCAAAATGTACGGTTTGCTTTCGAAGCTTTCTGACCAATCTGTACATGCTCGTCAGTCACACCTTCATGGAACCCTGCTTCTGCCCTGCCGAGCATGCCCAGCAGGAGTGCCAGGCTCTTCCTATGTGGCCATATGTTCCCACTTCCATGCAGGCTGCTTCATGGGATTTGCTGGGTAGACCTTATGAGAGTAGCTGACACATTAGTTTAGAACGAGTGATGCCTTATTATTATTCAAAAACTATAACTAGGTTTACAGTGTGATGTCTTCATTGCTTCCTTGTCCCCAATCTGCACAGTCCTCCTACCTCAACACATCCACAGGTAATCGTTCTGCATGCAGTATAGTAGGATTTGGTAAAGGTAATTTTATTTCTTTTTATTATTTTTTGAGACAAAGTCTGGCTCTGTTGCCTAGGCTGGAATGCAGTGGTGCAGTCTCAGCTCACTGCATCCTCTGCCTCCTGGGCTCAAGCCATCCTCCCATCTCAGCCTCCTGAGTAGCTGGGACTACAGGCGTGCACCACCACGCCCGGCCAATTTTTCTAGTTTTTGTCGAGACAGGGTTTCGCTAGTGTTGCCCGGGCTGGTCTCAAACTCATGAGCTCAAGAGATCCACCTGCCTTGGCCTCCCAAAGTGCTGGGATATAGGCTCATTTAGTGCTGTATATAGGCTCATCTATAGCACCTGGCCTAATTTTTTAAGAAATGTCTCAAGTAAATATTCTGCAGCCAAACTTTTCATGTCCAAAACATTAATTTAGAATAAGATTTCAACATGACGTTCTTTATAAATCGGTTTGCATCTTAAGAACATTTCTTAAAATTAATCTTACTAGCTCCATGAAAACTAGCTCAATAAAACTAGTCTGTTAGTTTTATTGCCACAATAACTCCCTCAGAATCTGAATGTGTGTGTGTGTATAAGAGACAGACAATATTTTTAAATATTCACTTTTATTTTCTTAAATCCTAGACTGCAGAAGGCTTCTTATTTGTGGTTGGATGTGAAAGAGGAAAAATTCTCTTCGTTTCTAAGTCAGTCTCCAAAATACTTAATTACGATCAGGTATTCAAACCTCATGATTCCATATTCTAATTGGAGATGGAAAACACACCCATACATGCACACACACATCCCCACACACACAGGTGACTGACAGTTTAGGGTATCACTTAAGTTTCAAGATAGTGACATGGAATCCAGTCCTACTGGGCACTGACTTTGCAAAGAAGAGGCTGTTTAGAGACTCACTGGCTGCTCAGGGGCATGTAGGGATTCCCATGATTCAGGGTTTAGTCCTCTGCTTTTCAGATTCAGAAACTTGATCCGCCTTAGAGAGTTCTGGATATAGACTTATATTAACCACGCAAGTTTTTTTTTAGAATGAAATGTCTGACTGCCAAACAATTCAGCCTACTTGTATTGGCTGGTCCATTAGTCCTGTTGTCTGTAGGAATGTTTGCTTGGGTAATACAGGAATTCAGAAGAGGGGTGGCCACTATGGGTCAGGGAAGGCATCACGCATGAAGTAGGATGTCTGCGAGGCTTGGCAGAAGCGAGATGTAGAGAAGGGGAGGAAACATTTCAGGCTGGGAGAAAGAAGGGAGTCCCGAAGTGTAGGGAGTCAAAGGCAATTTGGCTGGAGTGGCCAAGGGATAGGGAAGGGGTGGTGAGTTCTGAGGAATGGGACTGTATCAGCAAAGGCATAGACCTGGGGATGCTGTGCATATTGGGAGTGGTGGAATGGGAAGTGAGAGGTATTCTGGGTTGGATTTTACTTATCAATAGTATGGTAATTTTTTAAACAGTATGGTAAATGTCTGATAAAGTCACAGATATTCTGTGATTTCTATATTATACTATCATGTAATCTCTTTTTTTTAACAAGGACAAAAAATTTCAAAACAAATCACAATCATTTCCAAGTATCATGTTAACAAGAGTTACGAGATTTAGCGGAATACTAGCAGTTAGTGTTTGTATATGGTTTGTGTATATCCAGGGATGGTTCTATATGCATGTATTTTTTTCTGTCTACAAGTATCACCCTGCTTTGAACACTAAGTTCATGTCACATGGTGTTGTGAACGTATCTTTGAGCTTGAGAAAAATCAACCTTTAACAAAAAAGGACATTTATTGTATGCATCAAGAAATGTAGAAAAAGCATGATACTGATTTTAAGTGAATGTCTACCTTATGAATAGGCTAGTTTGACTGGACAAAGCTTATTTGACTTCTTGCATCCAAAAGATGTTGCCAAAGTAAAGGAACAACTTTCTTCTTTTGATATTTCACCAAGAGAAAAGCTAATAGATGCCAAAAGTAAGTGTCCATTTCTGCATGCTTATTATTTCATGTAAATGTAATGATCACCTAAAAGTTTAGCTACACAGTGTTTTTAATACAGCTAACTAAGCTTTTATCAAACGAGAATTATTTTGTAAACTTTACATCATAGTTAATATATATAGCTATATAGAAAATTCCTATATTCATACAGACATATACAAACACAAATGCATTCATATGAAGATGCTTTGTTTGGGGAAAATATGATTCCTTCATATTTGCTATTTTTCATATACAAATAAAATCCTTACAAGAAAGTGTCATTTTGGATAAAAAATTGCTGAAGTTCCCATTATTTAGCTACATGCTAAAAGACAATTATCCTCTTTTGTATATGGATTAGGTCTTTTCTGTATGAAAGACCTTGTATAATTGCGTTTGGGAAGTGTAAGTATTTTTTCTTCTCTGAAAATGCCTAGTACCAAATAATTATATGAAATATAAAACAATTGATTCCTGTAATAGTTGAGGTTTTTTTCATTTTTTAATTTAATTTTTATTTCATTTCACTTAGATTAACTTTGTTCTTCCCCATTTGGGGAAAAAAGAAGGATAAATTGCAAATGTCTATAAGTTATCAAAATGTGATTGCTTGACAAATACATTTTTTGGGTGTGTTTCACTTTAGGGTTTACTGTACAATCATGCCATTGCTTTAAAAAACTATTTTCTTTTTCAATAATAGATGATCAGAAAATGTTGGAAGATAAATTTCAAAATTATTTGACAATATTCTTTTCCACCTGTTCTCTCACCCCCTTCTGCTACAAAAGCTGGTTTGCAAGTTCACAGTAATTTCCACACTGGAAGGACACATGTTTATTCTGGCTCAAGACGATCTTTTTTCTGTCGGATAAAGAGTTGTAAAATCTCTGTCAAAGAAGAGCATGAATGCTTACCCAACCCAAAGAAGAAAGGTATCATTTTGAAATGTCAAGTGATGCAAAGCATGGATATAAAATGAATGTCCTAAATATTTTCTGTACAGAAAAAATAAAACATATGGTCAAGGGAAATATTTGAATCCAAAAGCATCTTAAAAATAAGATTTTCTTTTAAACCAAAATTACTTAGATTGGTTCATCATATCTTTCGAATTTATCAGGTAATTACATATTGTCTTTGTTACCCAAGATTTTAATGGTATTATTGAAATTGTAGTTTGGGGCCTATCAAATGGGAAAAAATCACAAGAGATAGAAATAAAACTTTTGCTATGAAACTTCATTATTACTCTTTAAAATATAAAAGTTAGATGTTAAAATAAAAAAGTCAATAGTACAAGAGCCTGATCTGACTAATTTTGGTGAAAGTTTCTTAAGATGTTCCAGGTGTGATTTTAATTTTTTATGAGATGTTGATTCTTTGGTAAATATCTCATTTGTTTTCTTATGATCCTTTGCTAGATTTGTCTTGCAGATATTTACTTTTTGAATTGATTAAATAGTCATCTATTTAACTTAATTGGGAAATTTCAGGGACTACAAAATGTCTCATGACTTTTTTGCCTAAGAGCATATTAAGCTATTAGATATAGGATTTCGTAGGCAAATTTCAACATGGGATTTGCTTTCCTATCCTTTAAAAGGATATTTATATGGAGCCACAAAATTCAATTTATTTACAAGTTTTGGTCAGAATGTTTTTTGACAAACACCTAAAATGATAATTGCTAATACTCATTTATTTAACACTTACCCTGTGCCAAATACTGTGCTAAGTAAGTGTTTTAGTCCTCATGAAAATACTATTCTTTTTAAAAAATTTTTCAACATTTATTTTAGATACAGGGACTACATGTGCAGTCTTGTTGCATGGGTATATTGCACTAAGGTAGTGAGCATAGTACCCAGTAGATAGTTTTTCAACCCTCACGCCCTTCCCTCCCTTCCCCCCTAATAGTTCACAGTGTCTGTTGTTCCCATGTTTATGTCCTTATATGCTCAATGTTTAGCTCCTACTTATAAGTGAGGACATGTGGTATTTGGTTTTCTGTTCTTGCATTAATTCACTTAGGATTATGGCCTCCAGCTCTATCCACATTGCTGCAAAGGACATGATTTCATTCTTTTTTATGGCTGTGTAGTATTCCATGCTTTATATGTAGCCCACTTTTCTTTAATCCACCATGGATGGGCACCTAGGCAGCTTTCATGTATTTGCTATTGTGAACAGTGCTGCAGTGAACATATAAGTGCATATGTCTTTTCGGTAGAATGATCTGTTTTCCTTTGGGTGTATACCCAGTAATGGGGCTAAAGATTCCTCCGCAAGTTGTATTTTCTCCTAGCTTCTTTCACAGTCTTATTTCTAAAAAGACCCCTGCACATTGGCTGTGCTGAGGGGAAAATGATTGGGATAAACCTGAGATCATTGTGTGACAACAGTAGATGTTGGTGAATGAACAGTTTATTGAGTGCCTACTATGTGCCGGGTACTATGCCAAATGCAAAGGACACACTAGGGAGCAGGCAGACAAGTACTGCTGTAGTGGACCTTATGTGAGATGGCCCTCATATACTACAGACAGCCAAGAAACATGTAAACTAATAAGTAGGTAGTGGAAAGTGTGATGCGAGTGACATCTTTGCTGAATTAATAGTAGTTTTTGAATACTGAAAGATTATTTTCACAGTTTTTTGTTACTATTCACTTTGTAACAATTACAGACACAACACACTTGTGCAGTGGTACAGTCATAGCTCACTGCAGCCTTAAACTCCTGGGCTCAAATGATCTTCCCAACTCAGCCTCCCAAGTAGCTAAGACTACAGATATGTATCACCTCATCCCTCTAAGTTTAACATTTTTTATAGAGATGGGATCTTGCTATATTGCTCTGGTTGGTCTCAAACTCCTGGCTTCAAGCATTCCTCCCACTTCAGCCTCCCAAAAGGCTAGGATTTCAGGTGTGAGCTACCATGCCTGACTGCAACACACAAGTCTGTCTGCAGACCCTGGACATTAAAACTCAGGCATCTCCTCTTTCCAGAAAGCGATCCCCAATACCCTCCCAACTCTGGTGGCTTGCGTCCCAGGTACCCACATCAGTAATCCTGAGCTTCTCTCAGATTTGCTGCTCTTCTACACTGTATTGAAATTACTTAACTTTTTGATACTTTCCTCCCTCACTGGAATGAGAGCTGCATTTCCGTCTGTTGTTTCTGGCCCATGATAGACATTCAATAAACATTTCCTGAAGGCATAAGTGACGATCCTCTTGTCCTTTGTTCCTACCTGACTGACCGCATAACCACTCTCAAATCCACAGGAACAATTATAAATTAAATGAATGAATATACATTAAAATCTTTCTCTTTTACCTAAGGAAGCAATTTCAACATATTTTTTAGATTTTGTCTCAAGAAGTTTTTAGCAAATGCTATGGACTGAATTGTGTCCCCAGAATTCCTATGTTGAAGCCTTAATTCCTGACATGAGGGTATTTGGAGATTGGGCCTTTGGGAGATAATTAGGTTTGGATGAGGTCATGAGGATGGGGCCCTCATCATGGGATTAGTGTTCTTGTAAGGAGAGGCATCAGAGAGCTCTTTGTCTCTGCATGAATGCAGTGAGCAAGGGAAGGCCATGTGAGCACACAGCAAGTTGTTGGGTATCTGCAAGCCAGAAAGACAGCCCTCACCAGAACGCAGCCCTGCTGACACCTCCATCTCAGACTTCCAGCCTCCAGAACTGAGAGAAAATAAGTTCCTGGTGTTGAAGCTACCACATCTGCTATTTTGCTATGGCAGCCCAACCTCAGACTGCAACCAGCTTGGATCATTTTCTATACCATAGTTCTCATGAGAAAGAAATCTGAAAAGGCTCTGCCCTGAGAACTAAAGGCATCTGGGCCTTTCTGAAAATAAATGTCTGTTAATTAAATTGGCATCTTAAAATTTGGCTTCA